GCCCCAGGGTTTTTGCTTTGTCCTGTGGACCCTGCTTTGAGGTATATAAGCTTTTATCCATCTTCTGATAAGCTACAGCATCCTGGCTTTTTCTTGGCCAACTTCTTTTTATTGTTGGTTCCTGTTTTATGGTTTTATTAAAATATATAATCAAGCCACAAGTTGAGGTGGCTTGGGCATCTAGTTAGGATGCCTCATAGACACCTCCCTGATGAGGTTTTCCTGGCATGTCCAACCGGGAGGAGACCTAAAAGAAGACCCAGGGCATGCTGGAGAGACTGGCCAGGGAATGCCTTAGGATTCCTTCAAAGGAGCTGGACCAAGTGGCTGGGGAGAGGGAAGCCTGGACCTCCCTGCTTAGGCTAGAGCCACCGTGACCCGACCCTGGGTAAGCGGCTAAAAATGGATGGATGGATTTAGCCACGAGCTATTAAAAACACCCAGTCATGGGTTAGGATCTATTTAGTCTTTCAAATTGCCTCTGCTTTGCAGGTGATCGGACAGCGTTAGGACCTGTCAGAGCAGCGATCATTGTGGCTTATTCATTGCTATGGAAATTGGTCAGCGGGGAAGTCCGCCATACACCGAAAAATAAAAAAATTCCATCCTTTTTCAAAGTAAATGACAAAGTACCTCCATCTGCTCCTGTCTCAAAGAGAAGCCCAAGTCTAAATCGTTCAGCGTTGAAGCCAAAGCCGTTTCAAACAAGCAGATTCTGAGCTGATGCCATCTTTGTGGTTCTTCTCCATCACAGCTCTAGCGATAAACCCGCCCAACAAACACAGCGCTGTAACTGGCAAGACACAAAACTGATCCGGCCAATGGTAGACCTGTTGAGGCTACAATAGAGCGAAGTGGACCGACCTGCAGAGCAAAAGCTTTGCTACGACTGGTCTAGGTTTCTAGGCTAGATACCACAAAATCCAAAATTTCTTGCTATTTGATCCTTTATTTTGAACTTTTTATGAACATAGTCTGATTACATCAAAGCTTCAATAAACCCCTCTTGTAAAGTAATATTTGTTTCATCTATATGACATTGAGATGGATATAAATACAAACCAGTCTACACACATGTTGGCTTTTAAAGAACATGACAAGATAAAAATGTCCTTAATGAGCATTAGATGGCCCTGGAATTATTAACCTCCTAATGTAGAGTGTGTGTCTATGTCTCTCTCTGTGTGTGTGTGTGTGTGTGTGTGTGTGTGTGTGTGTGTGTGTGTGTGTGTGTGTGTGTGTGTGTGTGTGTTTGTCCTCCCCAGTGACTAATGTATCATATGCGGCAGCAGGGTCATCTATAAATAACACGATGTTCACTTTTGGAGCAGGAGAGGTACGTAGTGTCTGGGCAGATGGATAAACGAGTGGACAGTGTTGCAACGTCGTCGTTCCCGTCTTTTCATACACACTGCAGTGGGTGGCTAGCTGACTTTTAGTTGAGACAACTGTTCAGATCTCAGCCTCTGACCTACATGCACACGGAGAGCCTCAGGCTCCTGTAACATTTTCTGAGAGAGCACACAGCTTGCTCCCCTGGCTTGAACAGCATGGTGGCTAATCTCTGCTCACCACATGCTAGCATGAGTTAGGGCCCCAGTTTACTGAACCCTGTGTAATTATACCACAGCTTATGAATGAGTGTGCATGTTTCGGGAGTCTACTATCAGTTTGGCAGAACTGATTTGGTTTTGTGGCCCAGATGCAGCTCATTCTGAAAGTGTATAAAGATACAACCCTGTCTCTGACATGTTCATCAGCAACAACCAACCAGGCATTGGCCTTGGGATTTTTCCCATTCCACAAAGCACCAGTCCAACTGGTTGTTATTGTAAGACATGTCTGGCCCCTCGCTTAGAACCAGTTTGCCATGAGAGAGCATACTGATGGTTAAAAACTCAAACCTCCTCACAGTCAGTCAGTGTGTTTACATATGCATCAGAAAACTGAACCTTTGCCCTAAATAGACTGACATCATATGCATGTAGACACGTAAGAAGATGAGCTGGTTCTAAACATGCTGAAGCAGTGGGAACCCGACTACATCTGCATGTAAACCGGTCAGTTGGGCTGACACCGGTAACTTCCGGAAAAGACAAGACAGCAGAAGTGGTCTTCTGATAATATTGTCACCACAACATGTGTAACACCTTCAAATGGTACAGTACGTACTAAATCAATGGTGCTGCAGTGTTGTTGTCGTCCATTCCTTCAGCCACTGTCCTGTTTTAACGCTATACTCCCACAGTAAAACTGTTAATTTTACTCAAGCTGAGTGCATTTTACTCATATAGAGTAGAAAGTACTCTGAAAAAGAGTACCTTGGTCCCATGGACTCAAATGTACTCTCTCATTTTTCCTTCACACTAGCGTTTATTTACTATCTGTGTTGCTATAAGGTAACCAGAAACATGCCAACAGCAAAGGGCACGTGTTGCCACCTACTGTACTGGAGTGGAACAGACTTCATTTGAAGGTTTGGTTTTCTAACAAACATGCAAACTAGGATAAAGTCTCCCAGTTTATTCATTTAGATCAACCTAGATGTGCACATAAAGGCACTGAGTGGGTTTACATGCAGGAAGAGAAAAACAAATTGTTGCCTTAGTCAGACTAAACTAGCCCTTTTGAAAAGCATACACCTTAGTCTGACTGACCTACTGCTGGCCTTGGCACTCGCCCCTACAGAAGTGATGAGAAGTGGTCTTCTGATAATATCATCGCCACAAAGTAACAGAGTAACACCCTCAATCAACACAGTACGTACTCAATGTACTGTGTTGCAGTGTTATTCCTGCTTTTACTCTGTTTGCTTCACTCTCACCAAATTGTGTTTACTATATGTGTGAGGCTATAGGCTAACCCAAAAAATACCAAAACAAAAGGACACAAGTTGCCATCTACCATCGTGAAGTTGAACGCGCTTCCTTCAATATCCTGTTCATTTAACTGACATGTAAATGAGGATAAAGGCTGTTGTTGTGGTTAAGGTATTAGCTCGATTCAGATGTGCACTGAGAGATGCGTCCAAGTCCTCAACTAACTGGGAATAGCTTCTGCTACAGGTGGGTGAGTTGAACTATCTCAGGGTCTTGTTAAGTGGAATCATGGCACCTTCTCAGGCCTAGTCCACACATAGCCGGGTTTTTTTAAACAAATATTTGCCCCTCCAAAAACTTGCATCCACACCACCTCGTTTTAAAAAAAAAACTCTGTCCACACGTACCCGGATAAATACGTTGTTAAGGACATGCCAGACCTGTAGGCGGCAGTACTTCCCCTGTTCTTAACCTCATCCTTCGTCTGTGGTCTTCCGCAAGGAGCAGTAATTCCGCTTGCAAAAACAAACAAGCAAAAAGTGCTTGGACAATTGATAAAGCGAGCGCAGCTCTGAAGGCATCCATGCTGTTGGCTAGTGTAAACACAGGTCGCACACGTGATGTCAGCATTTTTCTGTCGCGGAAAGTGACGTTGCGGACCTTAAAACTCCGGTTTTGTCTGTCCACACGCAGACACCCAAAACGGAGAAAACGCAGATCTTCACTTTGGCCGGAGTTTTTAAAAAGATACGTTTTCGTGTGAAAAAAACTCCGTTTTCGTGTGGATGACAGGCCAAAACGTAGAAAAATATCTACGTTTTGGCAGATCCCCGGCTACGTGTGGACAGGGCCTCAGTGACCTAGTGGTAGAGCATCTGCCCTGGAACTGGGAGATCAGGGTCATACCTAAGTCCTTAAAAAAGGGACCCAATGCCTCCCTACTTAACACTTAGCTTTAAGGGGTTGGGTTGGGGATTAAACCACCAAACAGTTCCCGAGAGCAAACATTTTCACGTATCTTTGAAACAAACCTTTCTCGGTGTTTCATTTAGGCTGGAAGGAGTGGATTGGAGCGAAAAACAAAAGATAAATGAAAAACTTACCTAATGTTATGTTATGTAATGTTTTTTATTCCCAAACAAAACATAAAAAACCCAATGAGGGTAAAAAAAAAACCCCAAAACAAAGCAAAACCTTTGCCTGCACACATTTGTACACAAAGAATTACCATCATTCCCCGAACACTAGAATGACTATTGCATCCTGTTTACATTCATAAAAACATTATCTGCTCATCTTCCTTTGTTTATTTTAGCCTGCTGGTTTCAATTTGCTCAACACATTAGCCGAACCTCAAAAACCTCTTTGTTTAAGCGAAGAATGCCTCAGTGAGATGCTGCGATAAAAGCTTAGGATTGTTTAACAGTTATTGTTTTCTCGTCACAACTGCTCCTTTGTCCAAAACTAATGATTTCCTTCCCTTTGTCCATACGTTTACCACAGGAGGGCCACGCAGTAAACACAGACACAGAATGGAAAAGCTAGGGCGTTTTGGTCTAATCTATATTCAGTGGATTACTTAGTTCGTGAAGTCAGAAACACAAGTGTAGAGCCTTGCAGCGCTATCTCCTGAATGCAGCTGTGCTGAGGAGCTCTGATTCCCATGTGTGGACTATTCTACCCTCCCCCTTGACGTTCTCTACGAATGGTACGGTCCATTTAAAAAGGTGCTTGTCATCTCTCAATGCTCTGTGTCCTTTCAACAGTCAGCTGCGGGGTGCACATTTCACGGGGGCAGTGCCACCTCTCAGACACACACACTCATGCTTTTGTGGAACTCTCAGAAACACACACGCACACTCACACTCGCACACATACAAGCGTGCTTTCACACTGATACACACACACACACACACTTGCACACACCATCTCTAAAACATGCACTCTCCTCAAGTAAACACGCATTCATTCCTCTCAGCCAGATGCAGCATTTTAAGGGAAAAGGACAATCGGATCTGAGGATTTAAGTTTGCCTCTTTTTTTTCTTTCTTTCACAACAAAAAGGAGTGAGAACAAGTAAAAAACTGAAAGAGGAGGATTTTATTTGGGGACACCATCCCTGTAAGGAAATGGACAACTTGTCAGCATGACACCGTGTTTGGATTCCCTTCTCTCCCTCAGGCAAAAATCCTGAAAATGATGGATGACAACAAGCAGCTGGCCCAGCGCATCGATGGGGCCATCCAGTCCGCCAGCCAGGAGGTGACCAACCTGCGGTCGGAGCTGAGCGCCACCAGCCGCAGACTGGCTGAGCTGGGAGCTACGGACTCCTCTGCCAGCATGACGGAGACCCTGCAGCACAACCACAATGGTAAGAGCTTTTAGATCCTACATGTGGAGCAGATCTATGTCCAGCTACTGGCAATCATGCAATGTTCATTGTTGTGTTTTGGCTTGTAAGTGAGCCAAAATGGTCTCCACTCACACGTCTCATTTAGGTGCATATTCTTTCAACCCAGTGCATGGAGGAACTGAGCAGCACAGCTGAGAGGTTTCCGTTGACCCCCAGTTTAAAATTGCCTCTCATGTTGAATAATTAACCCCTGGAACCTTTGAAAGAAGGGGGTGGCGCTGCTTTTGCAGAGTGGGTAAAGTTACAGGCTCTCTCCACTCTCAGGCACTCTGTGTGCTCTCCCTTAACTGGACAGAAGATCAGGAACAGGAAGGAGGGCTGGTGTCAGGGTTGCCGTGGGTTACTGTTACTGAGCCTTTTGAATGGCTGCCCAGACTGCGCGTACGTGTGCACAGCAGCTGCTTTGTCTATTTCTCAACTTTAACACTCAGTTTGACACAAAGATCGGTAACAGATGGGAGCTTGAGTTTCAGTGTGCATGCACCACCACGGTCCGGTGTGCAGAAATGTGTGGCTATAGGCTCTTTTAAACTCCCTGCAAACACACACACACACACACACACACACACACACACACACACACACACACACACACACACACACACACACACACACACACACACACACACACACACACACACACACACACACACACACACACACACACACACACATTGGTGTTTCCATAGCAGTCAGCTGGTACAGTGAGCTGGGCGATAGGATATGCTCTGTCAGCCTTGGCAGCACGCTGCTGTGAAACAACATCTCACTCAGGTGCTTCCAAGACCAAGCTCACTTACGGACCTGCAGCTTTTCCTTCCCTAAATTCAAAAACCCCTCATTTAACATCCTTTCCCCACCACTGGTAGTGGGTCTTTCAGTCCTTAGATGACCCCTGTTCTGCTTCTTCAAAAGAGGAAAACACCAACTCTCTTACACAGCTGACGGAGGTCAGTTTGGGCTTGTGTCAGCGCTGCTTCCAATAAGCTGAATGGGTGATTTTATGTTCCTTCTTGTGTGCATGTGCCATACGTTATCCTGTTGCCACTGATGCATGCACGCATTCCTGCTGTTCCCTAGCAGCACGTGTGTGTGTGTGTGTGTGTGTGTGTGTGTGTGTGTGTGTGTGTGTGTGTGTGTGTGTGTGTGTGTGTGTGTGTGTGTGTGTGTGTGTGTGTGTGTGTGTGCGTGCGTGTGTGTGTGTGTGTGTGTGTGTGTGTGTGTGTGCGTGTGTGTTTGAGGGATGATGAGCATTCCTCTGGGAGGATTTGATCACTGATGTCATCGTCCCTTGTTGCTGCTTGTCAGCTCTGCTGAAACAATGCCAGAGACGAACTTGTTCGGAGCAGGAATCGAAGTTGCAGTGATGATGTTCATGGAATCCACATTTCCATCCCAAAGACAGGAGAAAAGAAACTATATCTGGTTTGTTCCTGTGACAGCTATAACACTTATCTCTCTGATTTTGCCCACTTTAGCCCCAAAACAACATGCACAGCTGACCTTTCCACACTGAAGATTATTGTTTTCTACTCCCAGATTTTGTTTGATCTTCCCTCTGGTACTGAATCTTAATAAATTAGCCTTTTTCTCCACGCTTTTAGTCACTTCTTGCAATCTGTTCTCCACCCCCTTTCTCTTCTAACTCTACTTTCAAAGCTCAGGGTGAATAATAGAAACAGCTGGGGACAGAGGGATCAGGTCATTTATCACAAGTGGCTGTATTGGGAAGGGAGGCGTGTGGTTAGGGTTGCTGGTTCAGTGCACAGCCCATAAAGTGGGAGTCCCTGGAGAATCTGTATTGGGGGTGCTCTACGGACTTTACTATGAGCAGCGCGAGCCTCGCTAGCTGGCCAGCTGACCTCAGTTGTGTTCCTGCTGCCGTGTGGGCTTCGCATTTGCATGTTGTGTTTGTTCCAGTGAAGAAAAAGGCTCTATTAACTGTTTATGATGGTCATGGTCTTTTTGGGTAAAAAAATAACTATAAACACAACATTTATTTATATATTTATTCAACTAAATTTGAACCAAAATGAAGATCCTGATCACAGTCTAATCTAATAGCTTGTAAATTTATTATCAGTTACTTTTTTGCTGTAGAGAAACTGTAGCGTTTGAGAAACCCTTACCCATCCTTTCCACCGGAGCCGTGACGGAGCCGTCAGCAGCACGTTACTGCAGCAGCACGTCATAACTGCAGCAGCACGTCATAGCTGCTGATAGGAACCGCTGTGGTCAACAGAACCTTTTCCACCGAAGCCGTCAGCAGCGCGAGTCGGCCGCGTCTCAGGAGCAGCATGTCACAGCCCTTACGCGCCAGTTCTATTTTCTATGTGCTATGCCTCTGAAACGGGTCAAGTTCGACCATTTTTGGGAAAGAAAGACAGGAAATCGGACGCAGAAACAAAGCAAAGCTTCCCGAGATTTTCAGAATAAAGAAACGTACTGCCTTCCGGTTGCTTTACTTTATAAAAAAAGTTATCACCTAGCTAGCGGTCTCCTTTGTTTTTCCATAATGGACGACGAAAGGTTGATTACTGAAGTGATTACTCCTGCTTGTTGTTATGTTTACTGACAAAGTCACGCGTGATTTTGCTAATGTCGCGTGACTTCGTGCTCTGTCGGTGACAGCTGCTCCCCTGCTGCTTCGCGTCTCGTTGGAAGGGCCAAGCAGCAGCTTACGCAAGCAAGACGTGCTGCTGCAGTAACTTGCTGCTGACGGCTCTGGTGGAAAGGAGGGGTCAGTCTAACTCATATTCTGAGGTTTCCCTGCTCTAACACACCTGATTTTTATCAGTGGGTGATTAACAGTCTTCTGCAGAGCTTGGTTACCTGTTGAACTGGTGCTGGAGCAGGGAAATGACATGTCTCCATTTTCATATCTCCCATTTACCCAGTCTGGACTATTTCTTTGGTCATTGGGTCAAAATCCTAGTTGGTGAGACCGTGTGACTCACACCAGGAAAATGAAACCACTCATGGACGTTTCAGGGCAAACTGCATGATTTTTTTCACAGATACTCTTCCATTTGGCTGCCAAATGCCAAAAGGTACTTTCATGTTTTTACATTATTAGTTTTAAAACTGGCCAAAGATTTGGTTTTTGTTTTAAAGTCTCAGACAAGACAAACAAACAAACAAACAAACATACCTGGAATGCAGCTGATGGTTGTCATTAAAATTCTTTTTTTGTTTAGTTTTTAATAACCCATTTTGTCTTTTGGGTAAAACTGAACAAATGCCACGTCTTTTGCTGTTAAACACAGGATCTATGTATCTAAATAATTTGAATTAATGTTTTTAAAGAGTGGTCTTCAGGACTTAAGCCTGCTTTATTATTTAGCTTGAATGATCTGCTCTGCTTGTTTAGCTGTGGAGCAAAGACTAACTGTGTGACAGGCTAAAATTCTCTTCACTAAAAGTCTCTTTGACCGTTGATACTCAACAGGAATAATGATTTTTGGAGGCAGTTTGCCCTAAAGGTATTTAAAGGTGAAAAAAGGTATTTTTAATGAAGCTGCTACGAGTCTAATCCTCTTCCGTACCTCTGACTTTACAGAGGGAACTGACCATTGTGTAATACAAATTTTCTTTTCGTGAGGAAAATTTAATATTCAACTGTCTGTCTGTCTGTCTGTCTGTCTGTCTGCAGTAAAGTGTTACAGGAACTTTTACTTATAATTAATGTACCATACCATCTTTATTTATAAAGCACATTTAACAACGGCATGGCAGCTGACCAAAGTGCTGTACAGAATAAAAAGTAAAAACACAAAATAAAACAATACACAGTCAACAATAAAATGCACAGCAAGGCAGATAATTACAGTGAATAAAAAGACACATAATAAAATAATAAAAGTCAGGGATTTAAAAATTCCTGGTCGTAAAAGTGAGCCTTCAGCAGCGATTTGAACCGGAGGAGGGATGGTGCCAGCCTCACCGAAAGAGGAAGTGCATTCCATAGTGTCGGAGCAGCATCGACAAAAGCACGCTGCCCCCGCGTTTTGTATTTCATTAATGGAACACGGAGCAGCAGGCAATCAGCAGACCTCAACGCCCGGTTTGGCACATACCTAGTGACAAGATCCGACAGGTAATCCGGTGCCAGACCGTTCAGGACCTTAAAAACAAAAGTCCGGATTTTAAACTTGACCCTAAAGTTTATGGGTAGCCAGTGGAGTCGCGCCAGTAAATGTTTTAAATTCCATCTAGGGGTGGGTAATATCATGTCATTCATAATATTACCAGTTATTATTTCCTGCAAAGAAAAAAATCTATCATGTTGTAGAGAAGATGTTACATTTAATTAGAAACCATAGAATGTGAGATATCATAAAATATGAAATATCACCTTAATGGATCTTTGAGTACATTTAACCAGAAGATCAGATCTTTTTACTGCAGGGATTGAGCAACACTTCGTATCAATTCCAAGAAAGAGAAAGAGAATCAGGTTTAAAAAGGTAAAAGATTTCTTTCCAAACAAATTGATCAAGACCAACTTTAAACACTATGTGATGATGAACTAAGGTGGAGTGAGACTGAGGATGGTGTGTGTGTGAAATATGTTCAGAACCAGCAAATCCACAGAGACTATTAGTTCTGAGTGGGAGTGAAACGGTGTTTCGCTCTAAGCTTTGGTTTGGAGATTATAACACACATTGAGACGCCATCTGTCGGTCTACGTACGCCAACGGAAGTCCCCGTTTAGATCCGGAGGCGTCGAGGTCCAGCTTGGACCTTGTCTGGAACCGAAGCCTGTAGCAAAGCCACAGTTGCCGACCAGTCCCGTCTTGAGATACTCCCGGGTCACGACAGTTTTACTGGCATCTAGCGAGACCCTGAAGGGGCCGTGATGGTTCAGCTTTTATTCTGAAGGAACCGTTTTAGCAGGTGGAACATGCAACAGAATTAATCCAACTTGTCGTTAGGTTCTTTCGGCTTTAAGAGGAAAG